ATTGGAAAGCAATGCCTGAAATCTAGCAGTTAGTTTAGTTGAGAAGAAATGGCTTGTTACATATGAGTGTGGTGTGGACCCCAGTTGCAGACACAGACCAGGAGGAGTAGGAGCCCAAAGAAAGTGGTTTATTGCACAAAACACAGGTAAGGCTGGGTGGCAGGAGGACGAGGACCCAGGGACGAGACCAGGCAGGAACCAAGAGGGACAGCAGCAGGGCAAACACAGGACCCAGGAGATGAGCAAGAGACCAGAGAGGAGACGACACCAGGAAGGACCAGGGTGGCTGGGTCACTCAGCACTGGCAGACTGAGTAGCACTGACAGACCGAGTAGCACTGATAAACCGAGTAGCACTCATAAACTGAGTAGCACTGATAGACGAGTCGCACTGATAGACTGAGTAGCACTGACAGACCAAGTAGCATAAACATAGGGTAACGTAGGGTAGCGTATGCGTATCATTGCGTATGAACCAGCAAAAGCGCAGCGGCAGACAGGGTGGTATATATATCTGATGGGACCGGGAGACAATGAACGGCAGGTGGGAGGAATGATGACTGATTGCAGGGAGAACCGCAAAGGACAGGACCGGGAGATAATAGGCAACAGGTGACAGACATGGCGACTAATTGCGGTGACAGAGGAGCGGGGGAGTGAACAGGTAAGCCGATCGACGTGACACCATAACAGGGCCATTCTAACACATGAATATGCTTTGATCTAAATCATTCCATTGTAGCTCTGGCTGTATATTTAGGGTTGTTGTCCTGCTGGAAGGTGAACCTCTGCCCCAGCCCCAAGTCTTTTGAAGCCTCTAACCGGTTTTCTTCCAGGATTGCCCTGTATTTAGCTCCATCCATCTTTCCATCAACTCTGACCAGCTTCCCTGTCCCTGCTGAAGAAAAGCATCCCCACAGCATGATGCTGCCAGCACCATGTTTCACAGTGGGAATGGTGTGTTCCGGTTGATGTGCAGTGTTAGGTTTCTGCCACACATAGTGTTTTGCATGTAAACCAAAAAGTAGCACCTTCTTCCACGTGTTTGCTGTGTCCCCTACATGGCTTGTGGCAAACTGCAAACAGGACTTCTTATTGCTTTCTTTCAACAATGGCTTTCTTCTTGCCACTCTTTCATAAAAGCCAGATTTGTGGTGTGCATGACTAATAGTTGTCCTGTGGACAGATTGTCCCATCTGAGCTGTGGATCTCTGCAGCTCCTCCAGAATTACCATGTGGTTGCTTCTCTCATTAATGCTCTCCTTGTCCGGCCCATCAGTTTAGGTGGACGGCCATGTCTTGGTAGGTTTGCAGTGGTGCCATACACTTTACATTTTCGGATGATGGATTGAACAGTGCTCCATGAGATGTTCAAAGCGTGGGATATGTTTTATAACCTAACCCTGCTTTAAACGTCTTTACAACTTTATCCTTGTCTGGGGTGTTCTTTAGTCTTCATGATGCTGTTTGTTCACTAATGTTCTCTAACAAACCTCTGAGGCCTTCACAGAACAGCTGTATTTATACTGAGATTGAATTACACACAGGTGGACTCTATTTACTAATTAGGTGACTTCTGAAGGCAGTTGGTTGCACTGGATTTTATTTAGGGATATGAGAGCAATAAACTGCCCACTCTCTGCCTCTTTCATTTTGTAAAAGTAGCTCTTAGAGGAAAAGAACTATGCCAGCATTCATACCACCATGTGCAGAAGTTTGTGATTTAATGGATTCAGTTAATCACTATTCATTAATACTCCAAATCAACTGTTGTCATTCATTTAAACTGGACATGTTTTTTATTACGGAGACCTGGATGAAACAGGGGGAAAATAGCCACAAATAGCCACCACAAATCTCCGAAATTTTACTGGCGGAGTATTTATTTTTTAGTAATCTACGTCTTACGAGGAGAGTGGGTGGCTTGGCGTCGATTTTCAATGTCGCCTTCTCCGCATGATAACATATGCCAGTTTTGAGCTTCAGCTCTTTGTTCTCTCTCAGCATTGTCCGGTATTATGTGCGGTCATTTACCGCCCGCCCAAAGCGAAGGATTTTATTAAGGATTTTGCGGAATTTTTGGCAACTTTTGTTCCCCAGTTTGACTGTTTCCTGATTTGTGGAGACTTTAATATTCATGTGAACTGCCCCTCTGACCAGCTTGCAAGGGAATCTGATGCTCTACTGGAATCATTTGATTTAATTCAGTCAGTCCACGGCCCCACTCATCAACATGGTGCTACGTTAGACCTTGTTATTTCTCGAGGTCTGACTTTGTCCATCATAAGTGTGGCGGACTTAGCCATCTCTGACCACTCGATAATTCGTTTTGAAGTGCAAACACCGGCGAGTGCTACTAGATTGTCAGCCACCTGTCAACGCTGTAGGATTATAACATCTGCTACGGCGGTGGCCTTTACAGAGGCATTCGTAGCCTCCGGGTTTTATTGGTCACTAGATCATGATGTTTCGTCATCCCCTCACAGTCTCCTCTCTTCCCTGGATGCCACCTGCGTCCAGATAATGGACGCTGTCGCCCCCGTCAGAAGCAAGAGAGCAAGATCCGCGGCTGTTCCCTGGCTGAATGACACCACGCATGCCCTGCGGAGACAATGTAGGCGGGTGGAACGGAAATGGAGAAAGGACGGCCTACACGTCTCTCTGGGCATTCTGAGGGACAGCCGACGGCTATACCAGGAGGCCGTAAAAGATGCGAAATCTCAATACCTCTCCAACATTATCTCGGAAAGTGGGCAGCATCCGAGAACTCTTTTTAAAACCATTGACTCAGTCATTAATCCGGCGGGCGCCCCCCACCTTGAGGGCTCGGTGGACTTATGCAACAATTTTCTGAATTACTTTATTTATAAAGTCAGATCGATTAGACAAAATATTCCCAGGGTCTCACCTGATATACTTGTGGTACCTCCGGGAGCTCAGACTTTCAATTGATTTACTCCAATTTCTTTACATCAGTTAAAGAAATACGTTTTGGGTTTAAAACCTACCTCATCCCCCTGGACCCCATCCCTGCAAGGATTATTAAAGATACTATTGATACTGTTGGGCCTTTTTTGCTGGCTCTTATAAATTGTTGCCTGCGGAAAGGGGAGATTCCCGCTGCATTGAAGCATGCGGTGGTATGACCACTTCTCAAAAAATCAAATCTCGACCCCTCCCTGGTTTCTAACTTTCGTCCTATTTCTTTGTTGCCCTTTGCATCTAAGGTAATGGAAAAACTCGTCCTCACCCAGCTTCAGTCCCACATAGACTGTTTTGGCATCCGAGATATCAAGAAATGGTTAGCGCAGAATTTCCTGCATCTAAATGACAGTAAAACTGAGTATATGTTGATCAGCGCTGGACCACACGCAGGTGTCCCTAATTTAGGTGTGCCAGCCCCTCCGCTTAAAGATTCGCTGACAAACCTGGGAGTGATATTTGATAGTGGCTTCAATTTTGAAAAACAGATTGGAGCCGTAGTCAAATCTAGCTTCTTTCACTTGAGGTTGCTAGCGAAGGTTAAGCCGTTTCTATCACGTGCAAATCTGGAAAGAGCAATTAATGCTTTTATCACGGCGCGTCTGGACTATTGTAACGCTCTTTATGCTGGCGTGTCACAATCCTCTCTTCAAAAATTGCAATTAGTCCAAAATGCTGCAGCCCGGCTGTTGTCCAACACATCCAAATACACCCATATCACTCCAGTTCTCCGCTCGCTGCAGTGGTGAGTGCAATTTAAAGTTTTGTTGTTCGTTTTTAAGGCACTTCATGGACTTGCTCCACAGTATTTGTCAGATCTGCTGACTGTGTATACCCCGCGCAGAGCGCTGCGATCTGCAGAGCACCTGGCACTGGTGGTCCCACAGTCACGGTACAAGAAGTTGATCTTTTTCTGTCCACGGTCCTAGACTGTGAAATTCATTGCCGCGGGAGCTTCGGAATATAACTGAGTTATCGATCTTTAAGTCAGTTTTAAAAACTCATCTTTTTAAGCAGGCCTTTGTATCTGATGTTTAATGCTTTGAGTTCTCTACAGAGATAATGTTGTGTTATTTGTTGATAGATTGCTATGATGTTTTATGTTGGCTATTCTGTATTGTACAGCACTTTGTGCTCAGGTGAGCTGTAAAGTGCTTTAGAAATAAAGTTTATTATTTATTATTATTATTTACAACAGGTGACCGGTGATAAAATTCAGACAATTGTGACATGTTCACCACTTTGACCATGGTCCACTCACTGAACTCCCCATTTTACCCCTACACCAATGAGTGAATATCTGTCATGTTTATTGTTTTTCTTGAATAACTTTGAATAACCTGTGGTGAACACTACATCAATGGGACACCATTAGTTTGACAGCATCGGACTTCTGTGAGCAAATAGCACAGGACCTCAGTAGATTGTTCTTTCCATTACTGATATTTTGACATATAATTAAGGGTTTTAGGCTTCTTATATGTGCTCACTACTCACATGTACTCACTTTTTATGTCAGTGCCAATCAACTTTGAAACTCAGGCTAGTCAAATCTGTAGCATCCTTTAAATCATTTCTAAAAAGATAAAACACTGCTTTTTTTAATTAACATTGCTTCAACATGATCTCTTTGTTATTTCTTGTTCTATTATTAATTATTCTGATCTTATCTTGCCAGTTTAAAATGTTTTATGACATCCTTCCTTGGTTTCACTCTGCAAAACCATTTTAAAGGTCAGTAAATTCAGAGAAGTCATTCAGCAGATAATAAGCAGTCAAAAGTGCATTTTGACCATACCACAATCTCCATTCATTATACTTACAAAAAAGCACCATAGGTAAGGCCATAAAGGCCTGTAAAGTGACCTTGTGAAGTACAGCACCAGGATAATCTACTTAGGCATGTGAAGCCTACAAGCATCTCCAGAACACACTAGAGATTTACCTTCCTATACAAAACTATAATGCAGTACATTCTAGCCTTCAGAGAAATTGTTGTGGAAGTTGTAAACTCTGTACCTTAGAGGACCTAAAGCAGAATGCTGTAGACTTGACATCAGCTTTCTCTTTGTCCATCAGCAGTAGAGATTTATCTTCTATCAAACTGAGATACTTTCCTGTGGTCACATGTCTCAGTCTGAATGGCTGACCCCAGCGGATATGACTCCCACTCCACCTGGACACAAACGCAGTTACAGGCATAAATATTAAAAGGCAAGGCATTTGTATAGCACATTTCACACACAGAGGCAATTCAAAATGCTTTACACAAAAATACAAAATGTTTGAAAATTAGGCAGAGCATTAGTTACAAGTACAAATGAAGAATCCTAAATAAATACATGTAAGTGCAAAAATCACCAAATTACAGTAGCCAGGTTTAGAAGTGAGCCCACCTAAAAATAAAATATTTATATATTATAT